ATTTTATTGGTGAAACGAACAGGCGTGTCACATGATACGTGGCTAAGTGAAGTGACGTGGGCGATGTACAACTGCAACTACAGAGTAAAAATAATAAAAAGCCGTGTGGTGTCGTGGGACACCCGATAGGAACGAAGTTGTAACGATCGAGTAAAACTGATTCGGCACATTTTAATTACAACGCCATCTATGAAAGCGGCTATTACCTACATATTTTTCAGTTGGTTTCTAATTAAAACAATTTATACATTGGTAAAATCTCTTTGAGAAATGATTTCCTATCTATTCGATAGATGGCGCTGAATGACTGACATAAAAAGATAGAAATGAAAATATCTGGCTTGCTTTCTATAAGAGAGAGAGAGACAGACAGAGAAACATGCGACGCCGCACAGCTTACAATAGCTTACTATAGCAAAAAGTGTCGTGACCAATTTTCGTAAGATTTTTTTCCGTCTAGCCCCCTTTCACAACGCGTGATAAGGAACTTCGTTCCAAAAATATGTCGCATATGATCTAAAATATAATAATATATCTAAATGATAACCTAGGACCATAGCACCGCCCCGCCAGTAACCATTGCTGCTATGATGGCTGGTGAGAACAGTTGGGGCGTAGTGGTCTCTAAGGCTGTAATGCGTACTGGCTGCAATGTTCAGCGGTTTCTTTCTGGAAAGAGACGATTAGGAGCGTAAAAGACGTTGGCGGGGCCGCAGGCTGCCAGAGACTGGGGACCTGGAACTGGTGGCAGATTTATTGCACCAAAATTCGATTGGGCTACTAGGTTTAGTGATAGGCGGGGGAGAGCCTCTGGCTTCTCTCGGGATAGGGCCTAGTAGGTGCGGCGTCGATCTGGAGGTGACCTGACATCACATGGTCTGGGTCCTCCCATGGTCTGAGGCTGGCCGTTGGGGTGGTTTAAGTGGAATCACTACATACTCCTGGCTCCTGCGTCTTCTAGGAGCCGGAGATCTGCAGGGCTTTTCCACCCCGTCACCAAAAAATAGGACCTCTACCAAAAATCGAATGAAACTTCGTTCCGACCCTCACGCCGTTTTTTTATCTTAAAAATTAACTGTTATACAATATAAAGATGACGTAGTGTCATGTCTAGTCCGTTTTAATATTCGCCCTTTATAGAATCACTCGTGCGGCTGTCTGGCCGTTTAACATACAATAACAACCTTATACTTTGACTCCCCCCGGGAGAACCCCCCCCCTGACATTGGGAGCACTCGACACGTGGCTCTTGCTTCCTTATAATGAAGACAGTACTGCTTACGAAAACAACCATTGAATTCGCTTCCTGAATAAATTAATAATCTGTAAGTAATTAAGTCAAAATGTTCGGTTTGTTTCCTGGAATTTCCATACTACGTTACGTGGATATTTACTGTTTTATACTGAATTTTAATAATAATAATATAATATGGTCCGTGTGGTGACGGATTAAGAATACAGAGTGTCACCACCCCTATTCATCCCGTGGGTGTCGTAAGAGCCGACTAAGGGAGAAAACTACGCAGAACAACAGCACTGCAGTGAGAAGGAAAACTTGATACAAACCCTTTACCAACCCGTCTGGCCAGCGTGGTATAGTAGGCCAAAACCTCCTTTCTAAGGAAAGGCTTATGTCCAGCAGTGGACTATTAAAGGCTGTTGATGTGATGTGATGTGAATATAATATAATATATCTCACACACTCACACACGGCCGTCTGATCCCAAACTAGGCAGCGCCTGTACTATGGTAACCAGACCGCTGATAAACATACTTATATATTTCTAAATACATACATATTATAGATAAATTACACCCAGACACAGAACAAATGACCGTGCTCATCACACAATATTTGTCCTGGATGGGAATCGAACCCACGACCTCCGGTTTTGCAGTCAAGGTCACTAACCACTAGACCAACAGGCCCGTCAAATATGTGTACAATACAGGTATATTTTAATGCTACTAGCTAAATTGTAATGTAATATATTAAATTTTTCATTTTTTTTTTAAAGGTTTTCCCACAGCTCGTGTATAAAAAATACATAATATTAAGTGTACAATTAAGATAAGGTCTTACACACTTTTCAATTACGGGGTAACGAGCATTCGCTAGACATACGTTATACATACAAATCTTAGTTAATAATATCTTAACTAGTTACATAACTACAAATAATGAGTACTAAAGCGAATAAGTGATACCAAAAAAAAATTATTTTGTTATGTCTAGGAACAGTACTACAAGGCGTTTCATCACAAATCTATGGGGCCTCTTTACTACCCCTTTGAGACTTTAGGACCTTGGATCTGAATAAGTTTATCGAGTCATGGTGTATGTCAATATCTGGTACCACTCTTATGAATGAGTTCATCTCTCTAAACATTCTGTTCAGGGGTGAATTTACTCCTATATTCGTTTTACAGGGTTTTTTGTACACAGGTGTAATCTTAGCTTTCTTCCAGAACTCAGGCAAGATGCCTTCATTGAGAGAGGATTTGAATATTATTTGCAGTGGTACACAAACTTCATCACTGCAGCGCTTAATAAATAAGGGTGGTATTAAGTCAAGTCCAGAACCCTTTGAAGAGTCAAGCTGTTTGAGTTTTTTTTTCTGAATTTCCATTTTTGTAAAACTAATATTTCTGATGACGTTTTGATTTCTAGAGAAGGTATGGGATATTTCTGAACCATCTTCCAAGTACATTTACGTACTACAGCCGGTATGCTAGACTCACCTCGCCGATTCCTAGCTATTTAGATAATTGTAAAAGAACATTATAATGTTCTTTAGGGTTTGGTTAGTCTTTTTTGGATGATAATAAGTTGAATAAATGATGATATAAATATTAAAAAATTAACTGTGGTTGGAAGCACCGAAGATTTCCCAATCGTTCACTATCAAGATGGCCGAAAAAATGAAAGACTAGTCGTCCTCCAAATTCTAAAACGTTATATAAGTTATACTCATTAAAGGTTATACTAATTTATTGATTACTTATCTGTACATGAACTAACGGTACTATCTATAAACCTTAGTGGTTTTACAGTACCTTAAAAAACTAATACAAAGAAAGGAAAAATCTAAACTGTTATACCTACGTGCTGGACAGAAACCGTTAGTGACAGATCATCCGCAGATGGAACTCTAAACTTCATAGTTCTATAGACTAATAATACGGATTAAATTTTAAGTATAAACTTTTTAAAAGGGAACCGAATTTAAAAGTAAAAAAAGAGTTCCACCATGAACTTCACGGCTCAATGGTTAGATCATGTATACTGATCTTATTTTGTTGGACTTGTCAAAATAAATTAAATGAACTTAAACTAAATAATGAACATTCCAAATCCAAAAGTTTCTATCAAAATTCATGGGGTGGAAAAGTTAACAAATACTAATAAATCTAGGGGACTTATCGTGTACACAACACTATTATCGAAAATGACATCATAAATTACTCCTTGTGGGTAATGTGTGTCGACAACAAGTTCTAAAAGCTCGACGTTCTCATGTTTCTTTCGAAAATAACTCCTAGGAAGTTGTGTAATAAGACTCGACTCAATTTACCCCTGCAATATATCCCTTAAACAAATATCTCGTACAGCGGCGAAATAGACTTATGTAATTAAACTCGTATAGCGTACCTACAATACATATATATTATATATATTTATATATTCTCACTCACAGGTACTTCTTTATCCACACGTAAAAACTGCAATTTGCTTGCTAGGGCATGAAATGCATAAACTATGTATATGTACGTTAGTAAGTTAAAGTTTACTTTTCTATTTTATTTATTAATTTTCACATAACTGTATAATAATACTATTTATATTATATAATATTTTGTGTTTCCAAAACCGTGTACCTACCTTAATTTCAAAACATGCAATTTATTGGGTAAATTTCTCACCATAACAATATCGCAGCCACGCCAATAAAGACAATATATTGATTTGGGATTGACAACGATTCCATAATTGTATTTATGAATAAATAACTAATTTAGATTGAAAATTTTGGAAACAAATGAAAACGTGAAATGATTTTATGTAATACTGAAATGTTAATAAATATTAATAGAGACGTAAATGATTTAGCAGTAGTAGATAGTATTCGTTCAATGAATCAATCAATGAATCAACCACACAATTAATTAATCAGTCAACAAATCAATCAGCCAATTTATAAAGCATAGTTTATGTCTGTTGAATTTCTGATAAAGCGTAAAATATTTTTTTGCAATCAATGATTAAAAAGTAAGGGACAAGTACTAGTTATCATTATAAATAAAATTTGTTATTTTTTATCGCTATTGTAGTAATTGTTTAATCATAACCGTGCTAAAGGTTAATAAGAGATTAGTTATAAACACTAAAAGATTTATTTTCAAGCATGAAACACGTAATATTATAACATAACATGGGGCCGTTAACATAGCCCTTTAACGAATTTGAAATATTTAATTAACTTTGTATAAATAGTCCTTGAAACAAACAATCTTAATCCTCATTACCAGTAAGGAAATGTTAAAAAAAAATACAAAGGAAAAGAGATAAGCAAAAAATATTTTTTACTAAAAATATCTTTTTACCGATCTAATTGACTGTAACCCGAGTATTGTAAGCGAGAAATAATTAAACGCAAAAATTTATCAAATATTCTTATCAAATCAGCCATTAGACGTTCGTGACTCCGTCCAATTACTTTCAAGAAATCCGGAAATTTCTACCGGTCTGCGATGTTTACAAGACGTCATGGGTCCACTTACAATCACCCTATACTTCGCAAAACTAAACAGTACATTTCTTAAACTAATTTCAAAGTATAAACAAAGTTCGCGCTGTTCAGACATGTCATTAACGCCCTTTAGATGGTTGATGGTTGGTGGATGGATGATTGGTTGGTTGGTGGTGGATAAACCACAGGTAGTTTATCTATACTTAGGTAAAATATTTAGGTGTACGTATGTTCAACTAGAAGTTAAGTTTAGTTGATAAATTTATATTTTCCGTTAGACGTCATTTTTCTTATTGGCTTTGCCGTGGTGAGGTTCTTTTGTGACACTATAAACACTTGCTTTTTCTCTTGAGGAGCCACTGGTTTCTTGAACCATGAAGTCAAAATTTTGAAAAGGAGCTCCATTACAAACCAGACTAACTCAATGACGCTTATAATGGATCCTCCTAAGCAGAGACCAAAGATGCCGCCAAGGTTTGCTGAAAAAAATAACAAAATTTACTTGTTGCACCTATCCATTGCACGAAAATAATAAGGATTTTCTACTCTAGAGGGGAGACTAAAAAGAAGTTTGACTGTAAGTCTACAAATCTATTATTGTACAAGATATTATGAGTTACACTCGAGATCAATTCATACGAGTCGTATTATTTATATCGTCAAGATTTGTATATTATTTGTATAGAGTGGCTTGAGAGAAGCTCGTACAATGCGTGAGACAACAAAATTCTAATTAAACCGAGAAACATTCAAGCACTTGAATGAAGAAATGGTAGAATACTCCTCAACATAGTTAAAGAAACTTTATGCGTGTAATTGCAGACCACCAACACAGGAATGACGGCACGTAGAGGTACTTAAGTAAGAGACAAAACTTAGTTTTTTTCTATTTTATCTGAAGATCAAATCAGGAATTTTTAATTAGTATAATGTACAGTGATAATCTTATTTTTAGATATTAAATTGTCTATCAAACAGATATTGAACTAATTTAGCATTCTTAGCTGCCAAGATTTGTAGGTATCGTTTTATAACATAGATTCATTAGCCATCAACACATTATTAATACTTTTAAAGAAACTATTAAAAGTCAAGACTGTCTACACCTAATTAACATTTTATTTATCTTGAAGATCTCAACTTTTATGTGTCACGTTTTAAAACGTTTCATAACGTTATTAAAATTTTAAACATATACATATATTTTGTACATTCGTAAATAAATTCTTTATTCACTTACTTTATTCAAGACCTTTGAAGATGTTATAATACATGTTAAAATACGATGCTGTCAAATCAAACATTTCATAGAAGTGAAAATCATTTGATATTATATTCTTATTCAAATTAGTATTATAAATACATTTTTTTTCTTTTTGGAGTCGCTTGAAGAATATTAATATAATATAATAATATATCTCACACACGGTAATCTGATCCCAAACTAGGCAGAGTCTGTGCTATAGTAACCAGACTGCTGATAAACATACTTATATATATTTAAATAGATAAATAATATACTTAAATTACACCCAGACACAGAACAAATGACCGTGCTCATCATACAATATTTGTTCTGAGTCGAACCCACGACCTCCGGTTTAGCAGTCAGGGTCACTCACCACTAGACCAACAAGACCAACTAGGCCCGTCAAGTTGTAGTTGTGTATTAGGCCTCACAAAATATTGTCTTTTCGTAATAAAAAAATTATATGGTACTCCTGGCAACGTCACAACTCACCTAACATTTGGTCCCAGGTGTAAAGTATTTCTCTCCTGTATTTCATGCAGGTCATCTGAGCAAAGTGGACTTGTACTCTGCTAGCACTTTGGTTTTCTTTGCTGAAAAATACAAATAAACTATGTTGGTGTGCAGACCCTTATATTGATCCTATGATTAAATTCAAAGTAAATTTATTGTTGCCGTGTGGTGATGGATTAAGAATACAGAGTGTCACCACCCCTATTCATCCGTCGGTGTCGTAAGAGCCGGCTAAGGGAGTAAACTGCACAGGACTGCATTGAGAAGGAAAACTTGATACAAAACCTATACCAACCCGTCTGGCCAGCGTGGTAGAGTAGGCCAAAACCTCCTTTCTTAGGAGAAACCTATGTCCAGCAGTGGACTAGTAAAGGCTGTTGATGATTGATGAAATTTATTAATTGGATACAATTGATTACAAATTCTTTGAATTTCTTAATTGTCTTTTTTAACATAATTAAAATTATAAATTAAAATATGTCACACAACATAGTCGGGTGCCTTTATCCCCAAAGAGCCGGAGATCTGAATTGGATTTTCCACCACGTCTACAAAAACAAGAGAGAAAAGCTGGAAATGGGGTGCCAGTTCAGCACATTGAGATTCTTCGAGGCTAATTTGGCCTTACCCTATAAGTGACCCCGAAACTGCACTTCACTTGATGTCTATGCCTAGGATTCCGATACTAGCTGAGGAAGTTAGGAGGTTATGTTAAATTTCACAGCTACTACTGTAACCGCCCTTAGACGTTTGTAGCTCCAGACACAAAACCATTGAAATATTGTTAACATTCAACGTTTACCGTAGAGTTAATCGCAACGAAAATCAGACCAATGTTAAAACATGATTTTCGATGCAGGACCAACGCCTTAGAACGCTTTAAAAGGTCAAAGTGCAGGTGGCTGTTGCCGGGAGGATCGAGCTCTCTGACTACTCAGATAATTTAAGCTATATATTGTTTAGAAATGTGTCTATAATTCATATCTGGGCGCAATGCTTAAAAAAAAAGTTTTCAAATTAAAGTAATGGTATTAGAATTTTTTTGTGACAAGTACTTGCAATAGACACTTATTTAGAATATAGAATAGTTTTTATTGTTTGAAGTAATTTGATTATTAAATTACCTAGTCAAAAGGTTTACATTACTCAAGTCACTGTGTAATATACTGAATAAAGCATATTAGATTTTTTTATGATTGATTCAGTTAGTTTTATATGTTAAATTAAACTTGATTTCAATTGGAATGTGGTTGCAGCACCACATGCTGGCGGTTTTCGAAAGAATATTGTTTGTTCAAAATTGAATAAAGGTAATTTTATTAAAATAAGTCAACTAAGGATATGTAAAATTCATTATAATGTTAATCTTGAATATTGAGCTATATTTAAGAATTACTTTGTTATGTTATAATTTATTTGTTGATAAAATATACTGTAGTTTCTATAAACCGTTGTAAAAATTAAAAATACAGTATGTCATAGTGAAACGACATATTAGACTAGCGATAGTATAAGAATAAACAAGTAATTTTTAGTGTGTTTTTTAATGACATGGTATCCGAAAGTGGTAACTCTGAGCTAGCGCCGACATAAACTAGAAAAATAATGTCTAAGCGATTTTTGTTTATTTATTTTTACACTTACAAGAAACAATTTACATTTTTGATTTTGTTTACTTATTTAGGTTCAACAATTATTTAGTAATAATAAAGAATTTAGTTTAGTGACGGATTAAGAATACGGAATATCACTACCCCAATTCACCCCGTGGGTGTCGTAAGAGCCAGCATTGCAAAACGAAGGAAAACTTGACACAAACCCCATACCGACCCGTCTGGCCAGCGTGGTATAGTGGACCAAAACCTCCTTTCTAAGGAGAGGCCTATGTCCAGCAATGGACTGTTAAAGGCTATTGATGACGATGATGATGAAATAACTTACCAATGTAATGTAGTCTAGTGTAAAATTATTGTTGGTGACAAACATTTATTATAAATAATATCCTTTTGTAATACCTCCTAATTTGTATTTAATGAAGAGAAAAAACGAATATAATACAATCAGTTGACATTGTATTATATAGTTCAGTCACGAATCAAATGAAAGTATTGAATTGAATATATTTACGCACGGAATGTTTTAATGTAAAAAATACCGAACATGTTGATATTAGTTCGTAGAAATGTTGACACAGAATTCATAAACCAAAGCCTCCCGCAAAGACTTGATGTCCTTGTGCGTCTAGACAACTTTCAATATTAGAAAGAACCAACTTGTCATCTACGGGCTAACACTGGGTAGACCGCTGAAGACATACTAGCACCGAACATAGTCAAATTTCAGGTTCTGCGTACCATAACGTGTGACTCAGTTTTTGGCTCTACCGAAAACCACTGTCAGATACCCATGGCCATTTTTACTCCAATAAATCACAAAGCTAGCCGTCGTTAAAATCAATTTGAACATTTTAACATTGATGACAGCTAGATAAAAAAAGGGATAATAATTGCATTGATTGGAAATTTGAATTGATTGTCAACAATAATATATCGGGAGTTGAGGGTAATTACTGATTTACATAAAACTTTTACATCTTTAAATTAATTCAAACTTTCTTTTTGACGACTGGATAGCGTAGTGGTTTGTGTAACGGACTGCTATTCCAAAGGTCGCGGGTTCGATTCCCGCTCAAGTCAAACATTTGTGTGCATGAACATTTGATGTTTGATTTGGTCTGGGTGTTTCTATGTATAATATGTATGTATTTACAAAAAAAGTATATATGTATTTATATCAGTTGTCTAGTACCCATAGTACAAGCTCTGCTTAGTTTGGGACTAGATGGCGTTGTGTGTATGTGGTAGAATATATTATTATTGTTATTCATATATGACGAGGTGTGGCAAACACTACTGTAATTTTAAAGATGGTAGTAAAACGCGATCTAATGATAACTTAAAGTGACACAATTAGTTGTTATGTTATTAAACTAAATTTAAATCTACACTCATACATATATTTGTGCCGTGTGGTGACGGATTAAGAATACTGAGTGTCACCACCCCTGTTTATCCCGTGGGTGTCGTAAGAACTGACTAAGGGAGCAAACTACGCAGGACAACAGCACTGCAAAGAGAAGGAAAATTTGCCACAAACCCTATACCAACCCGTCTGGCCAGCGTGGTATAGTAGGCCAAAACCTCCCTTCTAAAGAGAGGCATATGCCCAGCAGTGGATGATGATACATATATTTTGATTTTTAAGAGAGGAAAAAATTTAAAGTTATCTGTTAATTTTTAACCGACTTCAAAAAAAGGAGGAGGTTCTCAATTCGACTGTATTTTTTTTTTTTTTTTTCAATTTGACACTTGATAACGCAACGTTGACATTTTTTTCTTAAATAAAACTTTAAAATGCTGTAACAAAAATATGGAGATTGTCCATATTCACATTATATTCAATATACTGTTTTTAACAATCTTTACACTGTCATCAATCATCACATACACAGCCTATAACAGTCCACTGCTGGACATAGGCCTCTCCTTAGAAAGGAGGTTTTGGCCTACTATACCACGCTGGCCAGACGGGTTGGTATAGGGTTTGTTTCAAGTTTTCCTTCTCTTTGTAGTGCTGTTGTCCCACGTAATTTTACCGCGTTTACACTGTACCTTCTAGTTTTGATTAGTAATTTTTACAATTATGCTCATTCAAATATTGAATTGTCACGAAACCAAAGTTTAAACAATGACAGTTGATTTTTTTTTATACTTCAACAGTAGCTGGTGTGTTGAAATTTTGATATCAAAATAACATAATTTTGATATTTCAGCATGCTTTTCAAACCTTGAGTTATCAGAGACATTTCAAAATATTAAGGATAAATTGAATACTTGATACGAGGAGATCTAAAATTCCGGCTATTAATATTCTCTAGGAGCGAATAAATTTGATTTTGCCTTTAGATGTAAGCGGCAATTTTCGGGACTCTTGAGAATGATGCTTACGGTTGATTGAACGTGGAAGATCACGATAAAGCAGTTTTTTTTATTCATGTTCATTTTTTTTTTCTTTTTAAGAGATTGTTCTATCTTTTTTTCATGATCTACACGCGAGCAGATGTTTGATGGTAAGTAACTGCCGCCCAGGGATATCTACGACTCAAGAGTACATTGAAATTTTTTAGATGAAAGAAGTAGAAGATAATGTAACACCCTTAAAAAAACGGGACATTTTTAGCCACTAAAAGAGCTACCAGTATTTAATATCCAGTTAAGTAATAATAATAATAACATACCTCACACATCTCACACACAGCCGTCTGATCCCAAACTAAGCAAAGCCTGCAAAGCTATGGTAACCAGACTGCTGATAAACATACTTATACATTTTTAAATCCATACATATTATAGATAAATTACACCCAGACATAGAACACATGACTGTGCTCATCACAGGATATTTGTCCTGGGTAGGAATCAAAACCACACAAGGTCAAGTACAGCGTAGCTAGTATTCATTTAATAATAAAGCTATATTTTGAATTTGTTATTCAATCACACTTTTATTTAAAAGGTCCTTCTATAAATTTTGTCAGCTTGACGTGGATAGAATACTTTAAAAATGTAATATGACAATAGATCAATTTCTGATTTATTTATAGTTTATGTGGTATATCAACGGCAGCGGAAAGGAAGGAAATACAAAAATAATTTGATAGAAATTGCGATGTGGACAATGTCGCCCTCCTAAATAACTCAATGGTATTTGTTTGTTAGTTAAAGGGAATGGAATTTGGTCAGGAATCCAAATATTTGCATTTAATTTAACCCGGAGAGGTCGAGAAAATAAAATATCTCAGATTACTCATTTGAATATTATAATAGAAACCTTATTTCATTACTTTATTAAAACAATAAAGATTGCAGCAAAACTAAAATCACAATCAAACTGGAAATGGTGGGTAATAAAATCTGATGGACTGCTTGGTTGCCAGTTTTTTAAGATATGACATCAAAACTGTTTTATTTTTATAGATGGATTTAATTAACAGTAGCATGAATGTATAAAAAGCATCAACATTTAATATCAATAGGTTGTCAAGTACCATTACTACAGGTAATTTAGACTGTAGTTAAATATTCTGAGGATATGTACTGAACGGAATAGGCCAACTGTAAATAGAAAGAAAACTTGACACCAACCATATACCAACCCGTCTGACCAGCGTGGTATAGGAGGCCAAAACCTCCTTTCCAAGGAGTGGCTTATGTCCAACAGTGGACTATTAAAGGCTGTTAATGATGTTTTCATTTCGGTTGAGACAATTAAGACGTTTCGAAAAATTAATTTCGACTGGTCTTTTGTTTTAATATTTAATGATCCTGGCTTTTGAACCAGGTATCAGTAGCTGTGTTTAGATGTAACAATAATTTAGATTGTCGATCGACCTATAGATGGCGTGTCACACTAATTCTGAATCGCGATATTGTTTATTTCACATGGCGACGTAAGTAGACCAGACATTTATTGTTAATTAAACCCTTCAAGGTAAATGTATTGGTGTTAAATTTGTGTAAATATATACAGTATAGTGCGATACGGTGGTTTTATTCGAATCATCCCAGTGATGCGACAGTGGTGTCATTAAGTGCGCCGTGCGTACAATCTGAATTTCCACTCAACACAAATAATTATTTAATGAACATGAATATTGAAATATGTATGTATTTAGAAATATATAATTATGTTTGTTACTAGTTTGGTTACAATGGTACAGTTAATGCCTAGTTTGATAGCAGCCGTGTGAGGTAAACCAAGTAAAAATAATAATTAAGGACATCCAAAGCATCACCCCTATTCATCCCATGGGTGTCGTAAGAGCCGACTAAGGGAACAAACTACGCAGGAAAACGGCACTTTCAAAAGAAGAAAATTTAAAACTAATCCTATACCAACCCGTCTGGCCAGCGTGGTATAGTAGGCCAAAATTTCATTCCCAAAGAGAAGCCTATGTCTAGCAGTGGACTGTTATAGGATGTTAATGATAAAAGCAGTTACCTCAAGCGTCTCTGGTGTCTAACGTATTCGACTTCAGTGTCGTACTGCACGTAGTCGCATCGCTGATAACATTCGTTCTCAGATATGATTTCCTTGATGTCCACTTGTACCATTGCTGAAAATTTGGAAATTCTTTATTATGTTTGAAGCCAGCATACCATAGTAAGAGCCGACTAAGGGAGAAAACTACTTTTTTTTCTAGCTGTAACGAAATCAATACTACAAAGTTCTTATACAACTATGTTGGAAAGTAACCACTAAGAGCTGGCCTAAATGGTAAGCAGGTACCACAGAATTCTAGAACAGTTTCCTTTTCGGATAACCATGAACAATATTGTAGATTCGAGATAAACTTTCTTAAAAAGTATATTATAATGTATTTATTTAAAGGTAACTGTTATTTCCACATTTTGGATTTTTTTGCCGTTGTCCCTATGACCCGTTCTTCTTTGATATGTTTGAGAAGATTCTGGTTTGAACTAAACTTAACGGGACTCATTACCTTCCTGATATTTATCGATTATTTGTAAACGTTACTCTTACATATATAGTCACATGCACAAATATAGAAACAATATCTCTCAAAAAATACTCTACAGGGGCAAAACTGATGTGAGAATAAACAGATCCATTGTTGTGACTTTTGAGTTGCAGGTGTCCATGGACGCTTCCAGGGAGCACAGGGAACATGGGGTTCCCACACGGGGGGGGGGTCGTCTACTCGTCTGTAGATGACCCGAGGTATGTCGGGGTACCAGGGACTTCCATTCTAGGGTATACCTGGTTCCCCGGCTATTAGTACCCGAGACGGCGTGCGGTTTTAGTCGGTTCGAGTCCGACATGCCACCGACAGGTGGTATCCGAGGGGATTTCCGCACGGAAAAAAAAAAAAAAAAAAAGGTGTCCATGGACGGCGGTAGTTGCTTACCAGCAGGTGACCTGTAAGCTCGTTTGCCCCCTCATACCATAAAAAAACTATATTAAGGTAACAGTTTGTAGTGACTGTTGTTTTATACTAACACATAGATTGATAAACACAGACGAGGCGATCCCATGTACAAGGTGAAAATTCTTCTACGCCCAGTTCTTCAGCTGTAAGAAAATATTTCTTTGTAATTATTATTTCATTATCTTTAACCATTTATAATAAATACCTTCAAAAGTAGAGGCTCATCGGTTTATACTGAAACCTATAAGTAGGGCAAGAAGATTTGATAGCAGATTTCTGCAGGGATCAAAGTCTTTAGAAATATTCACAAATTTTTTTTGTAAATGCGAAAATAATACAGGAAAGGAATTTTATAATCTCATAAGTAGTTATAATTGTAATAATGCCTGGCAAAAGTTTTTTAAAATACAGTTTTAATGATAGATCCATTAGGATATTTTAAATTAATTAAATACTAGTAAAGTGAGTCACACATTTCAAGCCAAGTTAATTAGTTATGTTATAAGTGAGCTTATGTCGATAGTGTATTTGGTGTGCTTCAAACTCTACAATCTGATCGTTAGTCCGACCGTCTAACTCATTACGCTACCCGGGGGGGTATTACCCTTTATACCTTATTGACATAAAAAATATTGTGATATAAATAGTCTTCTTTTGTTTACCACATTCACTTTACGTTATTTAGTCCCAAACTAAGTAAAGCTTATACTATGGGTACTAGACAACTGATGTAAATACATATATACTTTTTTGTAAATACATACATATTATACACAGAAACACCCAGACCAAATCAAACATTAAAAGTTCATGTACACAAATTTTTGACTTGAGCGGGAATCGAACCCGCGACCTTTAGAATAGCAGTCCGTTACACAAACCACTACGCCATCCGGTCGTCTAACGTAAAGAACTAAGTATTTGTATCTTGTACCAAAGAACGATAATAACACTATTAACAATGAAACTTACAGCTAAAATCAAACGGCAAACATTTGCAGTAATTGACGACTTTTTTCAAAATCATCCGCGTCATACAGCTTTGGTAAAATCCTCTTCCTATTCCTTTATCCTGAAAGTTAACAAGCAATGTCTCTTCAGCGGAATATTATATTTTAACATTTTCTATATAAACCTGTCCGTCCGTGTGGTGACGGAATAAGAATACGTAATGTCACCACCCCTATTCATCCCGTGGGTGTCGTAAGAGCCGACTAAGGGGGCAAACAAAGCAGGACAACAGCACTGCAAAGAGAAGGAAAACTTGAAACAAACCCTATACCAACCCGTCTGGCCAGCGTGGTATAGTAGGCCAAAACCTCCTTTCTAAGGAGCGGCCTATGTCCAGCAGTGGACTGTTATAGGCTGTTGATGATGATATAAACCTGTCTGTACTCTTTTTGCTAATACACATAATGATATAACACATATACTGTGTATGTCAAAACTCACAAGTCAATGTGCTGGATAACCGAAACCGTATTTGTATAAATTGTTAGCTGAAAAAAGATATAAATTCACAAGAATCTGTTACTTTTAAATATTTTTTTTTGTGAAAATTAAATATTGATAAATATGTACCTAATGTTGTGACTTATTAATATTAGTGAACAGTTATACGCTACTAATTAACTATCTTTATATTTAGGCAATAATTGCAAATTGCTGTTAGAAGACCGTGTGGTGACGGATTAAGAATACAGAGTGTCACCACCCCTATTCGTCCCGTGGGTGTCGTAAGAGCCGACTAAGGGAGCAAACTGCGTAGAACACCAGCACTGTATAGAGAAGGAAAACTTGACACAAACCCTATACCAACCCGTCTGGCCAGCGTGGTACAGTAGGCCAAAACCTAATTTCTAAGGAGAGGCTTATGTCCAGCAGTGGACTGTTAAAGGCTGTTGATGTGATGTGATGCTGTTAGAAAAGACGCCATAACTTGTGGCGACCACGTGCCGGAAGACGGAGCGTGGGTAGGCGAAGGTCGCGAGAAGCCGTTGGATACGGCAGAACTAGACAGGTTGTGGTGGAGAGCCTTGGGGAGGCCTATGTCCAACAGTGGACGTTTTTCGGCTGAGATGATGATGATATAAAGGCAAATTAAAATTTAAATCTTTATGATAGGTTTGTACCGTGGTATAGTAAGCCAAAACCTCCTTTCTAAGGAGAGGTCTATGTCTGGTAGTCGGATATTAAAGGCCGTTGATGTTGATAGGATTATTGAAATAATTGTTTTAAAAATCAGTGTAACTCGAAATATGTCATATTGTTTAGTCCTAAACGTCAACTATCGTTGTAGTGTCTAATAATCCGTATCATTAACTTAACAGACAGAAGTGTCGCTTTTCCACCGCTCTTTTCCCGGCTAGAACACTAGGAAGTGGTAACGGATGGGTCGTTTTCAAGAGACTGTTTTTTTTGTGTGTAAACAATGACGTTCAAGAAGTGATGTTGATTTAATTTTTCATTTCAAGTATTTTCATTTTAATGTGATCTGGTACCTACCTACGTAATTCTTTTAGATTTTTTCTTGTTAAGAACAAATATTTCTACTCTTCTATAATGTATCAACTTCAAGTCTAACTCCAAACTTACGCATTGACTAAAACTTGTATTTAAAAGCAAAAACAATTAAAATAGTTATTAATATTCAATTTTATAACTAGTTACTTTCCAATAAATAGCTCTCTATTTGTTTTTAAATTGCTTTTAACTATCAAAAGAAAATTAAATACAAACTGATAAAGTTTTGTAAAATTACAAAGTTAAAAATCAATGACGCATGAACAGACTCGTTAAACTTTCCACTAAATAAAACTTATTAACTTCTGACCTTCACCTACGATTTTCATTTATTAGTAGTTGTAATAAAATCATCATCATATTTAGTATTAGTATTGGTTTATTTTATGGCTGTCTGACGCTAACTCTTCCTGGACGGGACAGAAGGAGAAAAAAAGAAAGCTAGAGTAAGCGAAACCGTATGTCTTGGATAGAAAACGGAGACTATGGCTCGTATTTTAAAAGGTGTCTCAGTCGTGATCTAGTCTTAAAACTAATTTTAAGTTGAGTTTTTATTATTGAACGTCACTTAAAACGAGATTCACCGCTCCATATTTAAGTGAGTGATAGCTTATTTTAGAACGATGTTTACGTCGAAATCTTTACTCAAGTATAGATTTTGACAGTTTTGATTTCTCTCATGAAAATTGACAGAGAAATATAGTCTGAAATAGTCTTTCTCTCTTACATAGGTTTCTTTTAAGTAAGGAAAAATTTAAGGACGCGATATTGATGCGAGCGAAGCTATTTATTACAATAAATCTGTATATATTTTATAACAGATTTAAAAACTGTGATTGTTATTCTAACTCATACTGCTAGATTGGAACAATTTTATTAGGTAACTATTCAGAAACACTGGCAATTAAAACTAGAATAAGCAAATCTCTAATTGGATAATCGTAAGTAAAAATGTATGAACAAATAAAAAAGTCTTACAGTTTCCAGAATACATTTCCTGCTAGCTAACGGCAGTGCTTTTACATTCTCCGAGGAGTCAATTACCCAAGTGTAAATGTTGACGTCGAAGAACGACTCCGGAGTCAGGTTGATAAAGCTATCGATCAACGTCACTTTATCTTGTCGGTCGTACACGTACAGCTGAAAAATACCATCATTAATAATTTTGCGGCCTACTTGAAGGGAAAACATATAAAAAGTAAAATTGAGGGTTCCGAGAAAAGGTTTGATCTTCTCTTGTTTTATCAGTGCTGTAAAGGGAAGAATTTAAAATTATTGTAATGTATATATGTAAATATATTTACGATCCGTGTGGTGACGGATTAAGAATACAGAGTATCGCCACCCCTATTCATCCATTGGGTGTCGTAAGAGCCGACTAAGGGAGAATACTACGCAGAACAACAGCACTGCAGAGAAAAGGAAAACTTGACACAAACCCTATACCAAGTCGTCTGGCCAGCGTGGTATAGTAGGCCAAAACCTCCTTTCTAAGGAGAGGCCTATGTCCAGCAGTGGACTATTAAAGGCTGTTGATGATGTAAATACATTTAAGGATGCTGCTGTATCTAGCTGTAATTAAAAAAGAGTGGCCGCGAGTTTGTTCGTCCTTTCTTCTTATAACACTCAACCCCTTAGAAACGGGCGGTTGTAGTTAGGCACAGGCGTATAATAACTGACTTTATTTTGTTATGTATTTCACAACATAAATTGTTGCGTTGATCTACAACTTTAGAGTCGAAGACGATTCCATTTTTTTTTTGGTTAAGGAAACAGATATTTCGTATTGAGTTCTTTTTTATGACGTTGGTGGCAAACAAGTACTACGAGCAGACAGGTCACCTTATTCACTATCAAATAACTACCGCCATGCATAGACACCTACAACTGAAGAGCCAAAAAGCAAAATTAAAACTTTGAAACGACCCACGACGGTTAAAACGTTATTGAAAAAGGATAAAATAATGTAAAAACCCTCAACTTAACCAGATTATGTAACGAATGATAATAGACGTAAAACCTTTTTAACCCCCGACGGAAAACAAGGGGTGTTATAAGTTTAACCTGTGTATCTGTATGTCTGTCTGTGGCATCATAGCTCCCGAACAGAAAGACCAATTTAAATGCGGATATGTCAAAAGCCGACGTGATCGAAATGGTTCTTAGCTACAAATTTTGAAGATCATCAGCACACTTCCTAGGTGATGTAGGGATCTCACTAAAATCCACAGGTACGAAACCTGAAGTTCAGTATACTGTTGCTTTGTATGGTGTGTGTTGTATGGTATTTCCACGAATTGGTAACCTGGAACTTGCTGTTGCATCAAGTAGTCTGCGGGATAGCCAATTCCTCAAAATTACAGCATATATACCATGTTTGGGCTTATTAGAACAGCCTCAATGAGCAGCGGGTGTTTAAAAAAATAATTGATTTGAATATGTTCAGAAATATAAACATAACTAAAGCATACTTATGTGTATTTATGTTATACTTATTGTTGTGTATACGTTGTGTATATTTATGTTTAATATTGATTTTTTTTAAACCTAATGCAAGTTTTGTACAAAGGCGGACTTAATGCCATTAGGCATTCTCTCCCAGTCAACCTTCAGGTGATGTAGAAATATGATGCGGTAGGTGCAAAATAAAATATTAAATTTAACATAATTGAAGTCCTGAGACATACACAGTATATAAACTCATATACATACATAAACCTACATAAATTTAATAAAATATATAAATACTCAGTCAGCAAATTCCAATGTCAATATGATAGAGTTGATCTCGCGAAGTCGATCATATAAACAATGGAGTATCAGTTTTCTTTACGTTTTTCAGCACTTTTTTACGTGCCTATTCATTTCTCGAGGACATACTTAGATGTAGTAATAATAAATAACATATTCAACTACCTATGAACTTCATAAACAACCAAAGACTAGCCCAAACTCAAAAGTTTTACTAGTAACCATTATGGAGTTCCATTATATTCCTTTTGGCTCCATCATCAGACCCTCGCCACTATGCACCAATCTAACGAACCTACACAAAGTGTTTGCTAGTGGCCATTGAAGAGTTTCAGTATCCATCTCTTGGTTTCCTCATCAGATCAGCTTAAAGTTGCCAATTTATAGTATTGACATGTAAACCACATATAACTGCAAAGTTTCAAACTGGCTGGACGATCCAAATCGACAAAATCAATTAGATTACGTTGGAAAAATATTTACTGCAGCGCCACTTAATACATTACCACCATAAAACCTATCTAAGAAACATCACTAATCAACCACGAATCCGTTACTGAAAACCCCTTAAAAATCGGACAAATCAAATCCGAAATAGATGTGATTTGATTCGACTTTTCCGATTTTTAAGGGGCAAATTAAAATCGGACAAGTACTTTTGGAGATAAATGCAACATTGATTTGCACAAACAAATGTTTACTGCAGCGTCCCCTAGTGAGTTACAACCGTAACATCCATCTAAGTACCAGCACCAATCAACCACGAAACAATTACTAAAACTGACCATTAGTTTTGGAGATAAATGGCAACATTGGTTTACACAAACGAACAAACATCTCACACCCTAATCGCATATATACCTTCTCCGTGCTATCGTGGCTAAGTACATTGCAGACCTTTGAGGTGGAAGTATCCTCTTTTCTTGAAGGCTTAAAGATCGTATCGTTCTGAAAATACCGTGGGATACAATTTGTGCCATGATTTGGTAGTGCCAGGCAAAAGTGACTGGATAGTGATTACTGAATAATACATACGACAGCAAACATCAGCGATAATGACCTATCAATATGAGAAAAGGAAGTCTTACTCAACAAGTTATCAAAATAAATAAAAAACTAATTAAAAAAAATATCCTAAACTATCTTAAAAACTTTTCTTTAATTTTTTTATTAAATTTCTAGAACAACCGTCCTACAAAAATGTACGTAGAGACCTGTACACACTAACTTTAGTATGACCTATATTGTGACTTCTGAACTCTTTTTATAGAAAAATAGCCAATATTTTTCTATAAGAAAAGTTTAGAAGTCTTATTATTTAGCTGTAATTAAGGCCATCGTATTTAAGTGATAAATTATCTTCAAATAAACTTATTTAACTTAACTATTTCGAAATATACGGGCCATTCGACGGGCCTTTTGGTCTAGTGGTTAGTGACCCTGACTGCTAAACTGGAGGTCGTGGGTTCGATTCCCTCCCAGGACAAATATTGTGTGATGAGCACGGTCATTTGTTTTGTGTCTGGGTGTAATTTATCTATAATATGTATCTGTTTAAAATATATATAAGTATGTTTATCAGCAGTCTGGTTACCATAGTACAGGCTCTGCCTAGCTTGGTTAGTGAGATGTGTGAGGTATATATTATTATAACGGATATAAATTAAATACGACACATTCAGACACCTCTGTTGAAGTAAAACTCGCGACACTGTTACCGTTACTGACACCTCTGCTCTACTTGTTTTCTGAGAGAAGAAATAGCCTAAGTTACTTCTTATATAAATAACTTCTTGGTAGTAAAATGTTATCAAAATCGGTCTAGCCGTGTTGAGGATTACCCGAAACAGACAGACAGATTTTTTTTATTTAAACTGGTTTTTAGGCACAGGTGCAAATAACCGTGTGACCATGAATAAAACTTATTATTTTCACATTATAAATATACACTTCCAATTATTTATATGTACAGATAAAGTAGAGTTTACATACCATGGCGTATCCATCAGTTTCATCTGGATCAATCTTAACAGCTGGACCCATCACCACAATATCCAAAGCCTCGGTTGTATCGATGCCAGATATATAATTCGTGTTGATATTAGTGTTTTCTCTAATAAATAACATAACAAATTTAAACAGGTTTCTTAAATCATATCGTAAATTGTATTAAAGTTCTTCAGAAAGCACAATACTCGTATAGGTTACTCGTATACCTTTAGACCCTTTTTTTTATTATTAAAATTAAAATTAATTTAAAAAGAAGGTACCTTTAGACCCTGTTAAATGTACAGAGTATTATCAAATATATTTCATGGCTTAATTAACTGAGAAGACTAATATGTAAGACGAAAATATATTTATCATAATTCATGCAAATATAATCTCCTTTCTAAGGAGAGGCCTATGTCCAGCAGTGGACTAGTATAGGCTGTTGATGATGATGATGATGACAATCATGCAAATATTATTGTATCTTTTTTTATTTTTTTTTTTTATTTTTTTTTAAAAGACAACTCCCGCATTAGGAATACATTCCTGTGTCGCGGAGGTCTTTACAAACATATATGAAACGGACACAAAGAACACCCAGACTCGGAACAACAATTTGTGGATCGCAACGTGGCGTGGCAACCGCTTAAAGCACTACGCCATCCGTGCAGTCAACTATATTAAATCCAATATCATTCTTAACATCTTCAATTTTATAAAATTAGGTTCTAGCATGATACATTCAGTTTAGCAGCAGTTAAATATGTTTATTAGTGTTCAAACCTTTTCTGGTACAAAAATAAATTCGTCCCTACCGCATACACTTACAAATTGCTTAACTAATATAATTTAATAATGTCTAATTTAGTTTCAAATTGTCTTGTACGTAATATAACTTCGACGTCCAAATCTTGAAGGGTTTCATAAAGGGAAATTAATAGTTAAAGTTATGAAGAACAGAGTATAATACTCGTACACAACCACTTAAGGTCAAGTTAGTTATTAGCTTGAGAAAGGTCCGGTCCACTGAGGTAGGTAAACAGTTCGCAATGCTAATTGCATAGCGAACTGTTTTTTTATTTTATTCAAAACAGTTTTAAAAGAATTAGGTACAGTCAGTAAGAATGCTTTTGTTGGTTTCTAAAATGTTTTCTTTGCACAAAATGATCTTAGTCATATATGTAGCAATACAGTGGTCTAAATAAATAGAAAATTAACCAAAATATGTACGCAATTTAGATATTTTTGTGAAAATACAAAACATCTAACCTTAGGATTAATGTCCGTTCGGAATATTTGAAAGCGGTATTCGAATGGAATGCATTGAAAACATTCTAATGTTAAATATTGTCATACCAAATTTAAAACATAATATTTTTAAATTGACTTTTTTAACGAATGAGTATTGTGAAAAACGTCATAAAACCTTAATTAATGGTCAGAAGAACTTCTACTACTTTTTTCCTTAGTCGAGATTATTTCCGGATGATAAAATTGAAGTGAATACCCATTAGAACGTTGTGACCTTAACGGTATTTTCTTCAGTTGCCGTTTTTTTCCGTGTCATTCATCTCCTGTATTATCAGAGAGCTGTGTGGTTTTATTAGTCACCGTTGTCCGAAATATATGATTGAACATTAAATTAAATGGATATGAAACAGTATTATTTATTTCATAAATCTATACTAATATTATGAACCAAAGAGTTTGTTTGTTTGATTGAACGCGATATTCTAAGGAACTATTGTATTTTAGACTAGAATAGAATATTTTTTATTGTACACCAATTACAATATGTTAGATAAATATTACAAACAGATATATGCAATGGGCGCCCTTATCGCTAAAAGCAATCTCTTACAGGCAACCTTTGGATGGACAAATCGACATTAAATGAGAAGAAACAATGAGTAGTCTAAGTGTATTGGAGCTACAGTAGTGTAAAAATAAATATATAAATTATATATAACTATACGTACACACACATACATAAATAATATATTGATAAAGATGAAATCATTTAGTCATGTACAGCTATTGAAAGCAAAGAGTAGGTACTCAAGAACCCAAGTAGTGATCTTTGACCATATTCTTAAATGCTGTCAGTGTTTGGCACGTCTTATGGATTATTTTAGTATTGAATAGCCCTTCGAGGAAGACTGAATTATATCATGGTAGGACTAATATGAGCCCAGTATCAAAGACCGTTTTTGCAACAGTCATTATGATTTTCATAATGATTGTTGCAAAAACGGTGAAAATGTATATCTTTTAAAATATGCAGACGAAGATGCCCGGGTTGGATAGTCAAAAATGAATAAGTTACAGATAACATACCTGAAAAACGGAATATCAAATTGGCAACAATGACCAACTATAGTGGCTATGGGTTTGAACATTTGGGAACAGTTGTAAGGCTGAGATCTCCAATTGCACTCCATTATTAAGTCGTCACATGGTCTTTGGAACTGAAATAAAATCTCTATTAGATGTAGGAATTTCATATCACAAAAATCTGTATCTTTTCGTCGTCTAATTATTATTTATAAGATAGAATATTTACTGAGGATAAATCACAAAGCAATTCTCAGAATAGAGTACTGATCATATTTCAGTGAATTTCTGTAGTATGTAATGTTTTAAATTTTTCCCTTTTATAACAATAGCATCGAATGCTAAAAAGTTTTAAAAATATTTTTTATATTTATGATGTCTAATGTAATCCAAGACTAACTTTACTCTTGAGCTAAATGCAACAATAACATTAAGGAACGTGGTAAATTTAAAAAGGAGACAGAAATCTTTGAAGATAAATTTTTAGTCCTTCTAAATTCATCAAAGAATATTCTTTGATGTATTAAGCAACTTTTTCGTATTTACTCCCGGTGAATTTCAGATTGAGGTGAGAAAAAAGAAAATATAATCCAGTTACAAAGAATGAAATTCCATTACCATGTTTAATAAAATCTTCAACGAATACCCGAGATCATCGAGAACAGAATGCATTTTCTTCACAAGAGCGGCAGGCTCATAGTCTTTGCGTGTGACAGCACTAAAGCTTTTATAGAATTCGGTAATATCGGACTGGTTGTAACCGCGAAGAGTTCTGTAATGAAAATAAAATATATATCTAGAACAGAAGAAACTGACAGACTAATCTACTGACTGATCGGTCAACTTACAGCTGAAACCACTATGGTATGTACTAAGAAAGGATTTAAAAAATATACACCCCTAAGGGTGCAAAATGAGGGTTGACAATTTATATGAAACTTCGTTACTTTTGGTAGGAAAGTAGTAAAAGTAGCAAAAAACGTTGTTACTAATTTTTCAAAAGTACACTGAAAAGTTTGAATGGGGAACTTTTTTGGTTTAACTTATACTCGCATACTCTCAGTATAATTACTACGATGTCTGATATCAACCACCACGCCACCACCAAAAGGTAGTACTATTATAAACAGTTAACGCTGTGATGGCAAATATAATGAGCACTGACATTTTATTTGCTATCACAGCGTATACTTTTCGGCAGAAAATAGGGATGACGTAAAATATAAAACACAATTAATTACATATACTTATTATATACATATGTGTACTAATTCGAATGTAGTAGAAATATTTTTTATTTAATTATAATTACATCATTATGGCCAGCGTGGTATAGTAGGCCAAAACCTCCTTTCTAAGGAGAGGCCTATGTCCAGCAGTGGACTAGTATAGGCTGTTGATGTGATGTGATGATGTGACATTATCATGAATGAAAACTCTAAAAGGGCTCTTGGTATAACTGTTAGCTATTCTAGCTTTTAACCCAAACATTTTTCGTAACATGATGGGTTTGATTCCCATCCAAGACAAACATTGAATGACGAGCACAATCATTCGTTCTGTGTCTGGGTAAAATTGGAATGGAACTCAGGAATTTTAATATTTATTTAATAGGCGATGAACATTTAAGTTCATTCATAGAAAGTGTTTGATGTAAGAGTTAGAGTAGTAGTAATCCAAATTCTATAATGAAATTTAGAAAAAATCCCTTGGTGTGTTTAACAGTGTGGAAAAGAAACTCACAATAGTTCGGTGATCTCGTGGGTTCTAGGTAAGAAAACTTTTTCAGAGTCACAGACCGTAACAGCTGGAAATTCAACCTTATCCATCGAATAGTGAGTCGTTTCTACCTGTAAACAAAAAATAATATGCATATATCCTCTGGTTTGGATTAAGGTCAAAATTTACTTTTGTTATCATCTTACTGAAGTTGGTTTTACACCGGCCGCTTTGTTGCTGCTGCTGCACTCTCCTAAGTTAAGCCTATAACCCATCACAATGAATACTCTGTCTAATACCAAACGAAGTAACCAAATCTGACAGATAGTCCCGGAGTTCAGAACGTTTAAATGAAGAAAAAACAAAACTCTCTTCAGTATATTGAAATAAGTTAGTATAGAAGTATATATTTGCAAGGACAGGTTGCAGAATATGAATATATATTGATTTACTTATCTGTTGCATGTTAAAAAATTACCTGATTATTTTAGCAAAAGATTTACAAAGAAAATACACTGTCATCTTCATTTACAGTATCTTACATTGCTAATGATGGGAGGGCCTCCCACGTATTTCTACAATTTCGTGATAAAAATACACCTTTATTTGAACTTAAAATGATAAATTAACATAATGGAAAAATACCATGAATCGTCAATTTTTAGATGGAATTTCTCAGTAGTTAGAAGAGGATTCTTAGTTAGATCCTGTAATTCTTTTTTTGTAAAATACCTTAGCTGATTTTTAATACCGGCTATTGTATCATCATACATAAGTAGATGTAGATAGGTATAACAAATTAACCCTGTCCTTTAAAAACTTATGAAGTAATAGGAATAACTAACATTTTGCACTTTCATTTAAAAATAACAATCGATTTTAAGCAAGAGAAAGTTTTGAACGATTTAAATGCACTAAATGTAGGCTTAACTAATGTCAGCAATGGCTGGAGTTCCCTCTTATAAAGCCAATCTTTGCAACAACAGATAGGTAGGATCAGGATTACAGCATCTTTCAAAACATACTATTATTCGATACATATATAAAGTTTCGTGTCTGTAGTCTAAGATCGTTGTAGAGTTCCCTCATCTGAAGCTTATTCTAGGTGCAAAATCAGGCGCTACATCGCTATGCTTTTTATTTTTTTTAAATCGTAATAACCTTATAATTATGAGTTAGGGACTTGTAAAGAAATAACAGTTTTGTTTTAGCTAGGTAAAATAAAAAAAAGAGTTCTATCATTGTTTTTTTTAAAGATATAACCAACAAGCTGCGATGTTTTCAACTCAATTTAGATTGTTAAGCTACGAGTTAGTTAAAGTCTCAAGTAGCTGAGAAACCATATTACTAGAGTTTTAATGAGATGAATCTAGTAGAGTCGAACTGCAAATAGACTGAAGTGATTGGATCTCTCGAAGTTAAAAGCATAAAACTTTATTTTTAATCCAAATAAAGTACAAAACTCCCATACGTCAATAACCTATCACTAATCTCATATAGTCTAAACAATCTAAGTGCGTTTTGACAGGTGACACTCACGTTCTGTAACTAAAGAACACAACTACGTACGATTTGAACGAAACATGAATCAACTCTATTTTAAGTAAAGCAATTTTTATATAAGTAAAAATGTATACTACTGAGTTGAATGAATTCAGTTTAAATGTCAACAAATAATTTGAACAATCGCGTAATTCTTTATTTCATTTACATTCTATGTTTTTTTTTTAAATATATTTTAGTGTTGTTACATTGAAATCGTTGCGGAGGTAAAGTTTTATTGATTTATTTTACAAATCGTATAATATCAAAGGACTTGCTAACCTGAGTTCGTCTTCATTATAATTAAATACTTATTTATTAATTAGTTCTTTTCGCTTTAATTTTATGCTTTTCGTATAATTACACTGAACTGAAAAAATAAATTCATATTTATTTTTAAGAATTGTTTAATTGAAGAATTAATATTAAACTAAAATTGAGCGGAGTATATAATAAATAAAAGTTATCGATGAATTACTCTATTGCACTGTATTTACAAACACTCACTATAATAGTGATTTCTATATATCTCGTTAGTTGGACTAGAAATTCACTCCGATGTTAATTCGCTGTATCGTAAAACGATACTGTCTCGAACAGCATACGCCCTACGCTGTTATAGCACTATCGAATTTACTAGAAAAATCCTTAGTATTGGATAGCCCATTTCAGACAAACAAGAATATTCCAGAATTAGCCACGCGTTACTTGCAGCGCCATCTAGCGCTGTAAGGATCAGAACTGTTAACCACAATCTTAATAGATGTACTTTACTCGATACTAGATGGCGCTGTCCTCGTTATTCCAGACAATTCTGGAACAATCAAACCATTTAATCCTATGGCGCAACAATATCTATGAGTTTGTGTTGATTTGTGTTGACGACAGACTCTATCTGAAACTATAAATAGTGGCATTTCTATGAAAAATGAACGGTATAAGTGATTGGACCAGTCATAGTTTTGGATGAAACATGGTTAAATGCAAACCATATCGTGTTGAAGTCTTGTACGAACGATATTGCATCCTCTAGTACAAAAGTGCCTATTGGTAAAAGTGGCCAGTTAATTATTTGTCATGCTGGATATGCAGGAGGTTTTGTAGAAAATTGTTTATTGGCGTTCTAGTCAAAGAGCACCAAAGAATACCACGAAGAGAGGGACTCAGACAAATTTAAAAAGTGGTTCGCAGATCTTTTGCAAAACCTACCGATGTGTTATTGTGATGCCGCCAGCAAAGACTAACAATAAAGGCGAGCATGTGTCATGGCTACAGAAGAGTCACTAGTGAGAGGAACTAGTGAGATTGGTAGAAGAACACAAACAAAGGACACAGAGGTACGAAATCAAGGGAGCATGTGCCCATGCTTCCTTGATAATTCGTCAATGTCGTAATGAAGTAATAAGGACAAACTGATTTGAACTCAAGTCAAAGTTTGGTTCCTATTCTTACATGTTCTTGATTCCAAGGCATAAAAAAGTATAAAGTATTAAAAACTTTGACGACCTCCTTTAAAACCACAAAAAATATTCAACATAATTAGGTGGGTCAAAATCACCAAGGTGGAAAATCAGCTTTACTTGAAAATATCTGCCTCAGTGCGTTTTTTTTTAAACAAATTATTATTTGTAAATACTGTAAAGGGTTCATATTAACCGTACCTCATATATTATACTTCAAAAGTAAAACATATTCATTATTATTTGAAGAAATAACTACAAAAAATCATTTCGAGAACGCGTCCTAAGTAGCAATCTTTAGAAACTAACACCGGAAATATACATAAAATAAAATAAATTTTACGGTTCTTCTTACTTATTAGCCTTAAATTTTATCTACTATTAAGTAATTATATGCATTATTAAAGAAAGAAAAGAAACTAAAGATAATTAAGTCAAAATATTATGTCCGACAATGTAAGCGTCATTTGAGTGAACACAGTTTTGATTGACCGAAAATATTGTGTTTCTGAACGTGGCCTGTAGATGTTTATGGTGCAGTGTAACGAAAGATGTAAACAAAGTGGCTGTCAAGAAAGTTTCTCGCCAAAATAATTAAAAATAAGTGGTAAGTACCTTTCGATTCATTATTTACAGAGCGTACATCAATAGGTCATCATACCGGGAATGCGTTTATTAACTCAAAATGAATGAAAAATACGTATAATAGTGTCTATAAGGAATAGTAATCCCAAGTATTTTACATTAATTAAACCAAACATGATGTCAAAGATGGCGGCCTTTTAAATAAAGGCGAGTTTATTTATAAAAGTCATTTCGAGAACGGTCATTTCGGGAACGTTCCAGGACTTGACGGAGTATTCTCGAAATGATGATGACGTTCTCGAAATGACTTTTCATTATCAAACTGACATCTGTTACAACTATTGGTTAATTAATTTAGTGAATGTTGTGCTAACGTAGTTTTTAATAAATGTTTCATTTTTTTAGCAATATGGAGTCATGATGCTTCAATAAATAAAAAACGTTCGAAAAAGCACCTTCACAAAAATAGTTCAGCTTACTTGCGCCAACGACAAAAAGCTAATGCCAGAAAAACCAAATTTTTAGATAAGATGACAGAGGAAGAGAGAGAAATTAAAAGGGCCAAGGATAGAGCTTACCATAAACAAAAAAGCTGAAAAGAAAGTTAAAAATATTACTCAGATGACTCACAGAGAAAAGCGAAAGCAAAGGAAACTTTTGAAAAATGCATCAAAAACACAGGGAGAAGAACAAGGCATTATCAAGTATAACAAACAATTCTCCATCACATTGCAGTGATGATTTAGCTGCCAGACCATCAGTAAGAAGAACAGTTGGCTGAAAAAGTATGCGTAAGGATAGAGCCCATTTCAGCAACTGTTTTCTCCTGTTGTTTTATTTTACGGTACGTTTACCGTAAAATAAAACAACAGGAGAAAACAATTGCTAAAATTAAACATAAATATGAAAGTTTAATGAAAAGACTAAGAAGAAAAGAAAAAAGAGGACAAAGTTCAGGTACCAAGTACTTCTAACAGTAAAGTTGATGTAATGATAAAAATGTCAACATACCTCCTGAAGTGCGCAAAAATATTCCATAGAGAGGGAAATCTTCTAGAAATATGTTAGCGGTAATATGGTGAGGAAATATGAAAATATGGAATTACTTCATATGGATAAGAGTTTTTTGCCAAAAGAGAGAACCATTACATAGCTTCTGAAGTTCGTAAGGTCCAAAATTCGTAAGGTTGTTTGGAAGTCTGAAGTTTATCAAAAAGTTAAAGATTTCTTCCAAAGAGATGATGTCAGTCGGATGTGTCCAGCCAAGAGAGATTTTGTAAAGAAAAACTATAATAACAAAAAAGCGTCTCCTTCTATTCTCAGTTAAAGAACTGACGTCAAAATTCGTTAGGGAAACTGGAATAAATTTGTCTTATGCGACATTATTAAGAGCGAAACCATTTTGTGTAGTAGCGCCAAAATTAAGAGACAGAATCTTGTTTATGTGTTAAACACGAAAATTTTGAGTTTAAAGTGAACAAATTAAAATATTTGCAACAGATTAATCACGGAAGTGTAGAGAAAATGATTGAGTATTATAGTTGCGATATAACATCTTATGACTGCATGAATGGTTTGTGTGATTAATGTAAACATCCAATGTTTGAGCTAGCTGATAATACTGATTCTGTGACATATTTTCAATGGATTTGTGTTATCGAAGAAAAAACTGTAAAAGGCGAGAATAA